CCCCAAAACCCCAAAACCCCAAAACCCCAAAACCCCAAAACCCCTTAACAATATTTTAGTGTTGAAATTTTAGATGTCATCACTGTAGGTTGTTATTATAACACTCAAGTAAAACTTTTAGAGCAAGAGAAATCGGCTCTAAAACTTCATGTATTCTATTTCTCTTCCATTGAATGAACAGGTGTTAGAGCTAGACTCTTATAATAATTATCTTAATTATCAGAAGAAATCATGACTAATGATGCCATTACCACCTCCATCTATATAATGTAAGAGGAACTAAATGGCACTCTAAGAAGACTTTAATTAAGTAACATGGTTGTGGGATAGCAGTTATAGCAAACTAGTGTTCGTTATTTTCTTTGTAGTCGATATATTTTACTTTGAAGAAAAGTTTAACCAAAAATCGAAAAAAGTATACTCGCCACCAGAGAATTAATAAGCCGTTTAGGTATCTATGAGATAAATTTATAGCCTAATCGTTGGTGAAATTACAAGTTTGTTTGATGTCTCTAAAAGTTATTTCCGGCAAAAAAGAGTCGATTATTAGCTAATATCCCAATAAGTACTATTGTAAATCATCTTGGTAAGGCTATTCTGGAGTGGCTTGGGACATAAAGAACATCAGAATTGATTTGATCGAGGATCTGAGCCTCTTATTTAGCATACTTTTGCAAGAGTCCCAATATGATTGCCAGTTTTGATTAGTCTGAAAAAATTGTTTGCTATAAAATAATGAAGTTATTTGCTTACTTTGAACCCAAGAAATATGGAAAATAATAGGCTAGTTATTTTGACTGTTATCGCAGGCTCCTACTCAAGTCCCTCTTTCAGAAAATCTCAATAAAAACCTTTGGTTGCATTTTTCTAGAGCCATAAAGAAGAATTTTAAATAACTACAATATTTTCCAATAAGCTTAAGCTAAAAAGATGCTTCATCATAAAAAGAACAAGAGATCCCTCAGTTGACATCTGACAAATAATTTCTCCTTGCTAGCAGCTGAGTTTGAACATCTGCATAATTCAAGGTAAGACTTTGAAAGCCTATATAAAGACAAGAAAGTAATGATTTAATAATAATTTAAGTATGAAATCCCAAAAACAACTAATGTATATCTCAGAGAATTCCACTCTAACGATCAACTTTAAAGGCGTAATAGAGCAGTTAGAGAAGACTTATTGAGTCTGTCCTTTAATCCACAACTCTGATAGAAGGGCTATGAAATATTGACCACACGAAGATCAAAGTTCCTCGTTGCCTTCACCCAGCTTGAAGAACTTGTACAACTTAGGGTAAGAACTTAAGAAGACGTAAAGAGAGTGTCTAAAACTTTAAATTTCTGGTTCGAAGGAATGTTTAATAAAATTATAGCGGAGAAAATCTAAGAAAAAGAGACTTAAGGCTTCCTGCTAAGTATGATATAAATTCACCGGAAAAAGAAACAAAAATAGTTTTAATACATCTTGACAAAATCCATTCTTTATCTGAAAAGAATGAAGATGATTTAGCTGAAGTTAAAGTTGTTAAGCAAAGGAGAAATCGTTCATGGAGGCTTGATATTACAGATAGGCTTCCTATAATTCGCAATATTATTCTCAGTAACCCTATTGGTTCATTCAAACGTGCAATTAAAAAGACGAGGTATACTAAAGACAAGTACCTTGGAAGGAGGTCCAAGTACATTGGAATTACTAAAAACAACATTCATTGGCAAGCCTTGATCAATGTGAATCATGAGAAGAAGTACATAGGCACTTTTATAGATGAGATAGAAGCAGCAAAGACTTACGACTTGCATGCAATAGCAATGCAGGGGAAAAGAGCACGTTTGAACTTTAGCTACACACCTGAAGAAATTGTGAGCATGATTGATCACTATCTTATTCACAGACGTATAAACCTCCATGAGGACATCTAATAACATCTACTATTGACTAATAGAACTCTATTTATATCTTTCTTGGCTTAAAACTCCATCTAACAAACTGAGGCTTCCATATTGATTAGTTTCATCGATGATATTACCCTCAGGGGTTTTGGGGTTTTGGGGTTTTGGGG